CCCCGCCTCCCGCCGGCCGGCGCCTGAGGGACGGGGCGGGGCGGGCTGGGGCAGGGCTCCGGGGCGGGATCTTGACTTCCGGGGCGGAGCCTGAGCTCTGAGGGGCGGGGTCTGGGCCCCGAGAGGCGGGGTCTGGCTCTCAAGAAGGCGGTCTAGCCCCAGGGGGCGGGGTCTGAGCCCTTGTGGGCGTGGCCTCGCTCGGGGAGGTGGTGTTTTGATCCTGGGGGCGGGGTCTGATTCCCGCGTGGGACCCCGTTTTCGAGGACGGGGCCTTGCTTCGGAGAGCAGGTCTGACTTCTGGGGCGGAGTCTGGGTTCCGGGGTGGGTTTCTGGGCTCCAGGGTCAGTGTCTGTTTCCTGAGCGGTGGCCATCCTCAAGGGGTGGATCTGGTCCCCTGGACTGTTTCTAGGCGCCCAGGGACGGAGCCTCTCTCAAGGGGCGGGACCTGGTCTTCGGGGGCAAGGTCTGGTCCCTGGGAGGTGGAGCTTGTGCTTCGGGGGCGGAGCCTAGTCCCTCGGAGGCGGGGTCTGCTCCGGGGGCGGGGCCATCTATGACCACGCCTGCCAGCCTGCCTGGGACCCTCTTGAGGCTTGCGGCCCGGGGGTGCTGCCAGGCGCTAGGGAGCAGGGGAAGTACAGAGGCGAAGCGGCGTAGGAGACGCCTGCGGAGACGGATCTGGGGCGCGGCCCGACCTCGCGCCTGCTAGCCTCTGAGTGGGACACGCGGGGCACGGGGCTGGGCCCGGCGCGTGCGTGAGGGACCCGGAGTGGGCGCCGCCTGGCGGGTTGGGCTTCTCTGCCCGCGCCCAGGGGAGCCCCGCTCGTCCAGCAGCATCTAGTCAAATGTGGCCTCGGACTTGCGCTGTGCAGCCGGGGTCTGGCCCCGAGGAACCCCTGAAAGGAGACCGGAGACGACCAGGAAGGGAGAAACTGAGGCACGCCCTGCCCCGCCGCCTAGGGTTGCGGAGGCTCTGAGGGTGCGGCTGCCCCTGAGAGGTCGTGCTCTCTGGCACCTGTTTGCCCTCTCGCTGCCTCTCAGTCAGAGGTGATAGTGGAAGCCGAATGTGGTGGTGAACACCTGTCATTCCGGCATTCTGGAGGCTGAGGCAGGAGGATTGAAAGTTTGAGCCAACCTGGGCAACTTAGCGAGATCCTGTCTCCAAAAAACCCAAACCAAAAACCAAAATGGGCCGGGGATGTAACTCAGTGCAGAAGTCCTGCGTTTGGTCCCCAGTACTGCGGGGCCGGGTAATGTTACATGCTCCAGGTTCCGATTTCCCATTCTGCTGCAGGGTTTTCCGTGAGGGCCTGGGACCCACAAGGCGGCCAAAGCCAATGGCTCTCCTGCCTCCAGTAAGACATTCTTTTCTTCTCTTTTCTTTAAAACGAAGTCTTGCTGTGCGCTCAGGCCTGGCATCTATACTCCTGGGCGCCAGTGATCCTCCTGCCTCATCCTCCTGAACAGCCAGGGCTACAGGCATGTCTCACTGTGCCTGGCATATTCGGAGAGCTTCAGTGCATCCTTAATCTGTGAACATCACATCCTTGAGCCGGTGCCACCCAAGGCCCGGGAGTCCCCTACTCAGCACCCCTGTGCCTTCCCGGCCTTGGGGGCATGCGAGCACTTCGTTATGCATTTCCTCCTGTCTGTGCACAGCTCTGCCTACTGAAATACACATTATTTTGTTATAAGCTGCTTTCTTATTTCCTGTTTATGTTACCATGACAGCACTTTTAAAAAATGTATGTTCAAGGGAGCGAGCAGTGCTCTTACGGGGACTCTCACTTCCAAGGGAGGGCAAGGAAGGGCTGAGCGCTCGGGACACAGTGGGGCGCCCTGCAGCGTGCCCCCTGGCGGCCGATGTTGGAATGGCACCGTGAGTACCAGCAGGTGTGCGCCCACGTGGGTGGAATAGGTTGGCGGTTGTGTGTAACTGAAAATAGTCCCAGGTGATTCACATATTTTTAAAGTTCTGAGATGTTTTTTGGTACTACTGGGAATTGAATCTAAGGCCTCCACATTGAGCTCCATCCCCAGCCTCTATTTTATTTTATTTTTTATTTTGAAAGAGGGACTCGCTAAATGGTTGAATTGCCCAGGATGGGCTCAAATTTGCAATCCCACTGCCTTGGCCTCAGAGTGCTGGAAATTCAGGCACAAATCACCGTGCCCAGCTAGGATTCTGAGCTTGATGAATGGGGAAACTTCGCTGGAGTAAGGAAACCCTGATCAAATTCTCTCCCTTCCCTGGCCAACAGTATGTGGCTTCTGAAAAGTCAAGAGCAATCAGTGAGTTAGTTCAGAACTTCACGCCTTTCACCATGCAGATTCTGAAATGTGTAGCGATCCCTGTGATGGCTTCTAATGCAGCTCACCATTATTTCTTCCTCTTGCTACAAAGTCACTGCTTTTTGAAGGAGAACTGCAGGGGCAGTTCAGTGGTAGCACTCTTGCCTAGCATGTGAGGCCCTGGGTTGGATGGGGTGCAAAATAGAAGATGCCAACCATTGCTTCTTCCTGTCGCCAGGGCTTGCCCATAATCCCAGTATTCGGGAGGCTGAGGCAGGAGGATGAGTTCAAGGCCAGCCTGGACTACATAGTGAGATGCTCTTTTAAAAAAAACCAAAAGGGGCTGGGAATTTAGCTCAGCGGCAAAAGCGCCTGCCTGTCAAGTGCAAGGTCATGAGTTCGGTTCCCGGTACTGGAGAAAAACCAAAAAAAATAAAAAATAAAAAAAACCAAAAAAGATTAAAGACTGCAAACCCAGGGAAACCAAAAGTCTCCCAGCACTAGGCCACCTGCTTCAGAAGACAGTGCCTGGGTCCTGTGGATGCTCCTGCGAGCCCAGGGCACACAGAGCCACCCTGTGTCCTTGCCTGGGAATGGCAGCATGGTCTGAATCCTCACGATTCCCTTTGCTCTCAGAGACCGCATGAAAGACACTGGACTGGGTCAAGGGGAGCTGTGGCAGGAGGGGTGTTTGGGGCTTAGGACCGATGTTTAAGGCTGTTGTGGACTGCAGAGATTTTCCTTTCCTTTTTCGGGGGGGCAATGCTGAGAGCAAATTCAAGTCCTCAAGCAGACTAGGCAAGTGCTCTACCTCTGAGTCTGAAAGGAGGCTGTCTTGGTTACTTTTCTCTCGTTTTATTTCGCTTACAGTTTGTGGAGGTTTCGGTCCATACTTGGCAGATTACAAGGCAGACTGGCACATGGCAGAGGGCTACAGCTGATGGCGGCAGAACACAGCAAAGCAACAAAAACACACAAGGGAGGAAATGGCCAGAAGCAGCCTCTTCCTCTCCCTTACATATGCAAACTATCCACCCCAGGGCGGGTGGAGCTCTCACACCCATAATCAATCAAACTCTAAAAGCCTGCCCCATGGCTGCATGAGGCTTTGGGGGGGGGGACACCCAGACACAAAGCATAACAGAGGCTTTGAATTGAATTGAAATCACCAACAAGACTGCATGTGCTGGGCATGGTGGTACACACCCGTAATCCCAGCACTCAGGAGGCTGAGGCAGGAGAATCTCCATGAGTTTGAGTACAGCCTGGACTACATAGTAAGTTCCAGAGAGAGACCTTGTCTCAAAAAACAAAGTGTGTGTGTGTCTACCTAAAACCTGTGCTGTTGGAAGCCAGGGCCTGCCAGCAGACTCCCGCTACTGCCCAAGTCTCACTCATTCTGTAAATGAATTTTCCAAGCCCAGAGAACGCTTCGATGCCCCCTCAGCCCTTGTCCCTGCCCAGGCTCCTTAAGGACCC